CCCCGGAGAGCAAGGAAATAGATGCCTCAATGTTGTCGGACTACGCAAAGAGTATTGCTGAGAAATTCCAGCTTACGATTGGAGGAGTAAGAAAACTGGTGAACTCGCTAGGTCCCAGGAAGAACTACGTCCTACATGCCCGCAATCTGAAACTCTACATGGAGCTTGGAATAAAACTTACGAAGATCCATAGAGCAGTCTCCTTCAAGCAGTCAACTTGGCTGAAAAACTATATTGACTTCAATACTCAAAAACGGTCAGTAGCTAAAAATGCGTTCGAGAAAAACTTCTTCAAACTTATGAACAATTCCATCTACGGAAAGACTATGGAAAATTTGAGGAAGAGAGTTGATGTAAAATTAGTGTCATCGGAAAATGACCTCCTAAAACTTACAGCATCGCCGTGCTTCCAGTCGCATAGGATTATGAATGAGAACTTAATTGTGGTAAAGAGAATGAAGGAAGTTCTAACTCTGAATAAACCGTGCTATGTGGGAATGAGTATATTAGACTTATCCAAGACTTTAATGTACGACTTCCATTACAACACAATCAAGAAGGAGTACGGTAATAAGTCGAAGCTTCTATTCACAGACACTGACAGTCTAATGTACGAGATTAAGACTGATGACGTGTATGAGGACTTCAAGAGGATAGGTCAGGAGAAGGACTGCTGGGACAACTCAGATTATCTGAAAGATTCTCCATATTACTCAGCTCACAATAAGAAGGTAATTGGAAAGTTTAAGGATGAAGCTGAAGGAGTACCAGTGATTGAATTCGTAGGGTTAAGGTCAAAGATGTACTCCTACGTAAAGGAGAGCGGCGGAGGTGGAATAACAGCGAAAGGTGTGAAAAAGTACGTGATCAGAAACAAACTCACTCACGAAAACTTTAAGAACGTAATCAAGACTGGAGGTAGGATGAGACATAAGATGAACACGATTAGATCCATCAAACATGAAGTCGGAACTTACGAATTGAAGAAAGTTACACTCAGCTGTTTCGATGATAAAAGATACCTACTTGAAGATGGTGTTACAAGTTACGCGTACGGACATCACTCAATAGGAAAAGTAAATTGTTAAATAATGTTGAAATAATAATGCTGAAAAATAATAGAAAAATAATAGAAAAAATAATGCCAAAAATAATAGAAAAAATAACGCCAAAAATAACAGAAAAAATAATGCCAAAAATAATAGAAAAAATAATGCCAAAAATAATAGAAAAATGGTCTAGAAAAATATGAGCCCGCATTTTTGAGGGAAAAATATGGAAACCGCTGACCGGAAGTTGGGTGAGATCGCGGGCCGAAAAAGTGGTCTAGAACCCTCATTCCCTATACTACTAACCGCAATTTGATAATCGCACTAAAACCTATATCTGATATATCAAATTACTCGTTAAACCTTTAAAATATTAAACTTACTTGTGTTGCTTTCTATTCTCCATTACTATCTTTATCTTCACAATTTTTGCGATGAAAAATTGAAATTACTTCGAATTTGCCTCGTTTACTTGTTGCTACGCTACGCGATTGAGGGAAATAGCGGGGGAGGGTATCTTTTGTAGTAATATAAGAATAGTTTGTGATGTTACTCTATTAGTGTGCATCCACACCGGGCAAGCTGAAAAGTTAGCTTGGCCACGGTGGGAATCGAATCCGCGACCTCTGGGATACTAGTTATAGTATTGTAAAAGAAACCTGTATTATTGCATAAGTCTAGTTTATATACCGATTAGTAATTAACATATTTACAAAGGATTAACATACATATTATGCTAATATACTACATTCCTCCCCTTCTTTAGATACCTAACTACCGGGTGTCCCAAAAAAAAGTACTCCTGTTTGATTTGTAATAACTTCTAAACAAGTAAAGCCATCAAACAGAAATAAATTGCATTAAATAGAGGAGGGACTAACTTAGATGTTGATATGTTACAGTTGTATTTTACGTAAGAATTCACGGTGATATTAATGTTCAAAATCGGGGGCATATTTTGGGATGTGTCTAAAATTAGCGAAAATCGGCATATCAAATATTAACTCCAGCGTTTGTTTGCTTAATGACATACCAGGCTAACTTGTATTTCAGCGAATTGTCGTTAGGGTTTGTAAGAGATATGGCGTAGATTTAGACATCTTACATGTAAGTCTTAACTCATTGTTTCCTGAAATATGAACTTTCGAAATTATGCAAGTATTTAACAGGTCTTTGCAAACTTAAAAGTACATGAAAGACCAACATGCAAGGCAGGCGCTTAAATTTTTCTTAAATAGCCTAACTTTTTTATGTTTTTCATGGGTTCAAAACAAAGTTGATTATTTCTCGGTTAGAGCAGTATGAATATTATTCTTTGATGAAGGAAATAATATTGCTTTTTGCAAATACACAACACAATCACAACGCTACTATTTTGTTACGTTTTGTTCCAAAAATGTTGGACGTCTCTGGGGAGTTGCTTGTTATGTCTTTATACTTATGGAGTTGTATGCCTGGTTTGATTTTGTTTCATTCTCAGTTTATTCTGAACTTACCAAGATAAAGAAAGGCAAAAGAGTTTGGGTGTTCTTAACAAGATTTCAGAACGTTGCAGAAGTTAGAAAATTCATTCAATGTGAAGTTAGAAAATTCACAATTCATTGTGACAGCATGCCCTAATTCAGAACTATACGAACAATCCATGACGATCCTTCGTGATGCAGTGGTCTCATGAAATACGGAAACGTATATTCGTGCCAGGAACACACGCGGATTTCGGACGAATAAATCTTGCTTGTATAATAATACTTTGTTTCATAATAAACAATTTGTCAAGTGTCATTTATTTACTGGTAATAGTGCAGTGTTTCAGTCGGGCAAATCTTGATTAATATTTGATACCCCGTTTTTTGCATATTTCAGACACATCCAGAAATATGCTCCCGATTTTAAACATTAATATCTCCGTGAATTTTTAAGTGAAATACAACTGTAATATATCAAAATCTAAGTTAGTCATTCCTCTATTTGATGCAAGTTATTTCTCTTTAAAAGCTTTACTTGGTTAGAAGTTATTACGAATCAAACCGGAGTACTTTTTTTTGGGACA